AAAAGTTGCAAAGAATTTTTGTTTGCAGCCAGAAAAGTTGCAGAGAATTTTTGTTTGCAGCCACAAAAGTTGCAAAGAATTTTTTTTTTTGCAGCCACAAAAGTTGCAAACAATTTTTTTTTTTTTTTTTGCAGCGAGAAAATATTTCATGCCCAGAGAATGGGGTAAGGTGCAGAGAGCAGAAGAGCAGCGAGGAAATGAGCAACTTGAAAAGATGCAGACTTCAACTCCCAGGATCCCCCAGCCAGCTATAAACGAGCTAATTCTGGGAGTTGAAGCCTACACAGCTTCAAGTTGCCACGGTTGGGAATCTCTGCCTCTGAGGACTGTTTAGGAGCCAAACCTAAGGCAAAGAAGCTGCCAAATTCTCTTGCTACACCACCTTTTCTTCCCCGCTTTCTGCCTGAAATCCTCTCTGTTCTACCTCGGCCCAGGTAGTTTTTTGTCTTCTGCCACCTGGCACCACATTAGATCCAAGAGCAAGTCCATTGGCAGGTGCCAACCTCTTGCTGGCAAAACCAGCCTTGCCAGTTAGAAGGCTTCGTCTTCTGCACGTGAGAATGAGACCTTGTGACTGGCAGCAGACAAAAATGAGAAGCCAACTTCCTTGCCATCCAGGCGAAACAGACAACTCATCGGACTGCAATTGTTAACTTTCCACTCAACAAAAATACGTGCAAATTCTCTCTTTGCCCCAGCTGGGTTTCCCAGAACAATGTCTTTCTATCCCGGACAGACTTGAGCAAAATTCACTTTTGAGGCCAGGTGAGATCAAGCAGGTGAGGTCGCCCCGAAGGGCCAAACACACAAAAACGTCCTGCCATTTTAAGGTGTTTTTTTTATGCTGGACCTGCAAACACAGGGAGCGAAGTTGGAAAAGAGGCCTTTAGGGTTACAAAATGGTCACATCCTTGCAAGGGGAGATGAAGAGGTCGCCTTTAGGAATTTCAGGGGACCACAAAACAGTGAGGTGGTCATTGTACCTAACACCCCACCCACACACACACACACACACACAAGCAATGTCCTTTCTGAAGCCAGAATTAGAACGGAGTTAGACAAAAGCTCAATTGATACGGTATGATACGAGACCATATTTATGGCTCTTTCCCAATGTGCATTGAATGAATCCATGTTGATCAGCACTGATAACATTCCTCAGTTGGGTCATGAAAAGTCTGCAAGAAAACCAGAAGGAGAGCCCCAAGCACCCCACGGCCCTTCTCCTCTTCTGCAAACCCTCCCCCCTCTCCTAGCACTGATCACGTTCCCTAGCTGGGTCATGAAACGTCTGCAAGAAAACCACCAAGCTCAGAGAACGTCAAGCCCCCCTTGCACTGAATAATCTCATCCTTGGCCATGTTCATAATTGCAATGTGATAACAAGGACTCGGGTCTCCAGGTGTTCCTTGGGGGGAGGATGGCATCCTGACCCTTCAGGCTGCTTATCTCTGCACCCAGAGGAACTTATTTGCAAGTCTTAAATCTTTTTTGGCAGATGTGTAACTCTTTCCCCTCCGTTCTTGAGGGGGGCCATTCACTCCTACTTCTTTTTATTTCTATTGCTTAGACCTCCAAGTTTCCATCCTGCAAACAGCCCTTTTGTTTTCCCACGGTGACACAACCTGTTCCATTTCTTGCACAATGCCAACTGGTTCTTTTTTTTTTTTTGCCTGCTGTAGGATCTGCACAAAACTCCACCAGGATGGATGTGTTAAATGGGGGGGGAGGGACAAAGGCACTCCAGTCTTGCTTTCCTCCTCCTGGGGGAAGGGAGTGGTGGTGGAGGGCAACACAGGGGGCGGAAAAGCCAATTTTCTTTTTAATCAACACTGAAGTTTACAGAGCCCGTACCGGGTGGGATGGAATGAAACGGTATTTCACAGCCAACAGTGGTGGTGAAGAAAGGGGAACAACCAGCATTGGATGCCCACTCCCCAGATCCACAGACACAATCCGGCCAGATGTTTTCTTGACCAACCTGGCGAAGAGTCCAAAGGAAAATCCTTTTTTAAAAAGGTGTTGTTTTTTTGGGGGGGGGGGGAGAGCAGGGAAGAAAGACGGCGGTGCTTTTGAAAACCAAAATGCACAATTTTTGGAAAGTGCAAATTATTTTGGCTTAGGCTGAGACCGAAGACCGTGTGTGTCTCTCTCTCACACACACACACAAAATGGAAGGTGCATCCGGAGCTTTGTTCTTTCTCTTGCAGACATTTAGCGGTGACCTGGCGAGGCGTCCGATGGAGGCGTTTGCTCTGGGGGGGGGGGGGGAAAAGAGAAGGGGGGGGGGGGGGGGGGGGGTGGGGGGGTTGGAAATGACCCCAGGCCCCACAGCAGCCCTGCCCAGCCCAGCTCTGCTCTGCTCTGCAGCCAGGAATCCAGTTCTGCTCTTTTGGCTTCCTTAACCAGCATTAAAAATACCTGGTAAAATGTTTTCCCCTGTGTGTGTGTGTGTGTGTGTGTGTGTGTGTGTGAAAAGGAACCATTGGATCTTGCCGACAAAACGGGAAACCGTCACCAACAGAACAAGTTTTTCTTCTTTCTTTCTTTCTTTCTTTCTTTCTTTCTTTCTTTCTTTCTTTCTTTCTTTTCTTTTCTTTTCTTTTCTTTTCTTTTCTTTTCTTTTCTTCTTTTCTTTTCTTTTCTTTTCTTTTCTTTTCTTTCTCTCCTAGGCCGGAACTCACAAAATTGGGGAGAGGATCCCAAAATCCAAAGAGGAAGCTGGGAGTGTCTCTTCTTCAATCCTTTCTAGGCTCCCGATTTCTTCCGGCCGAGTTTCGCCCGCCGAGGCTTCAAGATGGTGTAGTTCATGTAGTTTGTGTGTTGGTCGGAGAGGAAAGGAACGTAGAAAGCCCGGAACAACCTTGAGGATCTAAGAAGACGAGGAGGAGAAGGTTTGGATGGGGTGGGGGTCCTTTCCTTCAGGCAGCCGGGAGGGTCTCCATCTTTGGCAGCTTGAAGACTTGTGGACTTCAACTCCCAGAATTCCCCGCTCCTGGGGAATTCTGGGAGTTGAAGCCCGCAAGCCTTAAAGGGACAGGGACAGTTGATGCAAGGATAATTTTAATGTTGACAGGGAAGCCGAATTTCAACGGAACCGACATGTCACTCCCTCAAAGCGTCTGGCTCTGCCCTCCATGCCCACCTCGCTTGGGAAGGCCTTCCTCCGTCCTCCCCCCCCCCCAAGGCAAAGCCCCCCCCCCTCCATTCTTGCTCATGCCTGGGGCTCCACTTTGGCCCGAAGGGGAGAGAAAGGGGGCTTTTGGGGGGTGGTTGCCAAGCGGATGGAGGGAAAGCTGGCCGTGGGCTTGAGGTGGAGGAGGGCTGCTGACCTGCTGCCTTGGAAGCACTAGGGGGGGGGGGAATTGGACGTGGGTGGAGGGTGGGGGAGGGCAGCTGGACCCCTCCCAGGCCTTCCTGCTGCATTTCTCGGAGCCCAGCAAGAGCTGCCTTTGTGGCTCTCTTTGTGACGCCAGCCGGAGACTCTCGGCTGTCCCAGAAGCAGGAATCTGGCACAGGTGGAGGGATCCGGTCTCCCCCGCCCCCCAGGAGCTGAGCAGCCCTTGCAAGGAGGATCAAGGCCCCCCCTGAGGAGCTGCAGGGGAGGGGGAGGGCATTCCCTCTTTCTGCATACTCCTCCGACCCCTTCCCTCCCTCCCTCCCTCCGTGTGTATTTCTCTCTTTCCCTTTCCTCTCCTCCCCTTCCTTCATCTCATTCTTCTTCCTTCTTTCTCTCATCTCTCTTTCTCTCTTCCTTTCCTCCCTCTCCTTCCTCCTCCTTTCTTCCTTCCCTCTTCCTCCCTCTCCTCCCTCTTTTCCTTTCCTCCTTTTTCCTCTTCCTCCTTTCTTCCTTCCCTCCGTTCTTTTCTCTTCTTCCTGCCTCTCCCCCTCATTTCCTTCTCTCCTTTCTTCCTTTCCCTTCTTCCTTCCTCTCCTCCCTCCTTTCCTTTCCTTTTTCCTCCTCCTCCTTTCTTCCTTCCCTCCGTTCTTTTCTCTTCTTCCTGCCTCTCCCCCTC